AATAAAGTCAGAATTGCGAGATAAAAATACGGAAACAAGCTTCTTTAGAAAACCTCTTAAATGATATAAAACACGTCTATTTTCTTGAGCTGGAGCACCTGTTCTCTGTAGCTAAATCTCTATGTTCTCGTGTCGTTTGGGTTCATCAGTGCTGAAGCGTTTCTATTGAGATGTGTTTTGGGAAGTGTCTGCAGAGTCATGTGCTTTCTTTGAGGATGCAGTCATTGCAATTAGCCGGGTAATGCTGTTAAACGGTGCTGAAGCCCGGAGAGGGGAAGAGACTTGACCTTCATTTAAAAGGTGTGGAACGCCAATTAACCGGAGCACCCAAGCTTGGAGGACGAGGGCACCTGCCTCCGCTTTCCCACGATTTCGCACCGCATCACGCTTGTCAGCCATTTTTGAAATGCGAAAGATCATTTGTGTATGAAGAAAAGTTTGCACTAATTTCTGTCCGTGCGATTAGCAACTCCGATGTCTCGGTTTGTACATGTTTCAGGTTTTAGTGCATATTTTTTCCAATGCAACTTTCCCTTCCCAGTGCGTTCCTTCCCATACGCCCAATTTCTCTGAGCCTTGTCCTCATTAGGAAGTGTTTAGAAACCTGCTGAAGTGAGAAATGGGCCCGCGAGAGCTCGTTGTCCTAATTAAACTTTGACAAGAAGAGTGACAAGAAGCAATGGAGGGGAAACAATGGCAACAGTGTCCGAGTATGAGCCCGAAGCTGGGAAAGTCTTTGTCCCGCCAAACAAAAGCATTTGTTTGCACGTATTCAACTCCACTCAACTTCACCAGGCCCAGGTGCTAAAACCAACTTCGTGATGAACATCAGAACGCATCACACCTTGGCCCATCTGATGCCCGGCCCGCCATCGCTTCAAATCCGTCGCTCCGCCAGCAGATCAAAGCCATGTAAATATTGCCGGACAATTAATTCACACTCGTTACCTCCAGCGCCTGACACAAAGACACAGCCAATCGTGTTGGGTTTCAGAGGCGAGCGGGTGGAACGAGGCTTTTGAGAGTCTAAAACATTCCTGAACCGCAGCCTTTTTCCATGTTTGATCTCCTAAAACTTCATCACGGAAACTCATATCTGGAAAACAGCATGTTTTTTTGTGTTTGAAAGACTGATTCACTGGCAGGTGGGACGGAGACTGTGTTTGTCACGGTAGGCGGAGTGCACACTTGCCCAAAGGGGGAGGACCTTTAAAAGTTCTTATGAAGTGTGCTGGATGGAGTGAACAGTGATCTGTGATCTTCATCTCTAGTGCACTTCACTGCGACCACACTGCAATGGCACAGAACGGGACTATAGAGAACGGGCTCGCTCGAAACGCGTCCCCTCTGCCTCAGCCTGTGAAAATCCCTGAGATTAAACACACTAAGGTAAAAGCTTGTCTTCAGCCTTAAATCGCAAACAAATACTAGAGCGAGTGGAGTTTTAGACTGATTAGTCCTTTAGTCTTTTTCAATGCCATTTATAAGAAACTTTAAGCTGTTACTATTAAAAATAGAGCATTTTAAAGCCTGAAGTCTTTTTATAGTTCTTTAGAACTAGAACTTGGTGTGTTAAAGAACCAAAACAAAACTAATGCACTGATTTAAGGAACATATTTTGAGAACTACATTATCTTTAAGAAGTGTTTTTTTTTTTATAAGAGGGTTCAAATGGTTAAAGGGTTTTTAAATGAGAGATACATACACAATATTTACATGTATTATTAAATTTTTTATTCATATTTGTGGACATGTTAATGAGCTTGTTATTTACATTTATTATTGAATTTTGACCTCATTTTTATTTATATTTGTGGGCAAGTCAATGAACTAGATATTTACATTTATTAATAATTTTACATTATTTTTATTCATATTTGTGGGAGTTAAAGAAGATATTTATATTTATTATTTTTTATTTATATTCGTAGACAAGTTAATGAACTAGATAAGTCTTAACTGTAATGGGAAACCAGTTTCACTGTAGTCTAACTATTTGTTGCAGATTTTTATCAATAATGAATGGCACACGTCAATCAAAGGAAAGAAGTTTCCAACGATCAACCCTGCAACAGGTGTCAAAATCTGTGACGTCGAGGAGGCGGATAAAGTAAGATGAATTTGACTCATTAGATGTCTAATTAAAAATGAGGATTCATGTACAGTGAATTGGGATACATGTGTATATGCCATGCATTTACGAATTATAATTTTTCATGTAGGCCTACATGTATGAGTTAAAATTGATTAAATTATATTGCATTGTTGAACTATTAATATGCATATGAGACTGATTTGAGGGTTTGTCAGATATGTGAGAATGCTTATTATTTATGTAGGCCTAATTGCAATTATTTTATATAGCTACTTACGATTTGGAAGCTGATAGAATAAGTTAATTAGACTGCCCTTTTGTCGTTTAAACTATGAATATGCATATGAGACTGATGTGAGAGTTTGTATTTATTTTGTAATTGTGTTTATTTATTGCAGTTATTTTATTATTTTGGCTGATATACAATTAGCCTAATTGTGTTGCATTAAGCAGTTAAACTATTATACATATAAGACTGATTTGAAAATTTGTCAGGCAAGAATTATAAGCATGGTTATTTAACTAATATAATGATTTGGCAGCTGATATAAGATGTATTTAATCAGATAACATAATTTGCCATTAGTCATCTGCAATATCACTTTCAGATTGTTAATAAGAATCGCTTCACCTGTGATGTGTGATGTGATTGTGGCGAGTGTAGTCTAAAGTGTTGGTGTGATTGCTCAGGCTGATGTGGATGAGGCGGTGAGAGCTGCCAGAGCGGCCGGCCAGAGAGGCTCGGAGTGGCGGCAGATGGACGCGTCGAGCCGCGGCCGGTTACTGCACAGACTCGCGGATCTGCTGGAGCGAGAGCGCGCTGTGCTCGCGGTGAGTCTGCCTTCAGCGATTAATTAGATCGACGCGACTGCGACTTCTACGCCAAATTCGCATCGCTACTCATTTGCTTAAAGTTTCGTTGTATCCGCTTTATTTTTAACGCGCGGCCATTTTTAACTTGAATGTAGACGATAGCAGTGTTGCCAACTCTCGCAAGATAAATAAGCTACCGCAGCTTCAAAAATAAGCCCAATATCACTATATTATTTATTATCATCAATATTATTCATTATCAATTGTTTATTATCAATGAATGAGCCTGCAACATAGTAAACTGAAACCACTCGGAGTTTGAAGTGCAAAAACATTAGTTATTTTACAAAAATCATCAAATTGCAACAAAGCGGGAGGGTACACACTATCCTCCAATCCAACCCGATCTCATGAAAGTGTGTATCAATAGCACAAGTTTATGTTTTGATTTGGCGTACTGTTTATAAGCAAAAATTTACTTTGGCGTGCATATACGCAATGGGTAGGATTAGGGTTGTGGGGTAGATGCGTATCATATGTACACGAAAACTGCGTATCATATGCACGCGAAAACTGCGTATTATATGCACGCGAAAACTGCGTATTATATGCACGCCAGACACGTGCGTATCATATGCACGCCAAAGTCCATTTTTGCGTAGCAATACCACGATTTTCTGTTTTTATATGGCGTGCTATTTATACGCATTTTCATGAGACTGGGCTCTCCGATCACCAGCGAGCAGAATAGTTTTGGAGATGAAAAAGGAGAATAAAGATAAGAGTGATAGCCACATATGTATATTAAAATAATCTCGAACCATATTTATCTAGTATTACTGCTCAATTATTAATCAATTATTTATTGATTTAATGATTAATGCATTTAAAAAATATTTTACAAATTAAATTAAGTCACTTTCCTCCCCTGCACCGTTCACCTTCTCCCATGTTTCCTCCATCTTTGTACACCTCTGTTGGTGGCCTTGTTTGTCTATTACATCTTGTCACATAACGTCACATGTCTGCACGTTAAACGAGATTTTACTCCAATGAGGGGGAGGAGGGGCGCCATGTGCGATTCAATTAAATTCAAGTTTATTTGTATAGCGCTTTTCACGATACAAATCGTTGCAAAGCAACTTTACAGCAAATTAAGTTTCTACAATATTTAGTGGTAGCTTATCAGTGGTGACTGTCAGTTAATGGTACTGTCTTTTGGTCCAATAAGTAATATCTCTGTCTTATCCGAATTTAATAGGAGAAAATTTTTGGTTATCCAATCTTTTACATTTTTAACACACTCATATATATGATGAATAACGCTAGAGCACATTTATTACTGCACTGATTTGCTTTTAGCAGACAGTGTTAACAATACCCTATATTGGAAAAAAAACAGCAATCATAAATGTAAAGAAATAAAGTTGCTTGTCAGGTATTCCTAACAAGCAACCATATTTTTTATAATAAGCCCAAAAAACAGTGGCCCGTGATTTTTTTGAATGCGAATTCACAAAAAAAGAAGCCCAAAGTCGCGTAAAATACACGGACTTGTCAACTGTGTATGTATACTATGATACAAAAACAGTATCATAGTATTTTAATTCATTATCATATTCAAGGACACACTGGTTTATAGTGCAAATAGTTTTAATTTGAGCTATTGTTTAAATTATTCTAGTTATTTATCTACACAAACCGGAAATTACGTCAACGCAGGGTAAAGTTAGTTCCATTACAGGTCTTCTTACCTTTTCTGTTTTGCCTGTTTTCCAAGTTGTTGTTATATAATCTACAAAGAAATAACATTTTACTTGTTTGTAACTTATATGGCCACTCAGACCGCTGACTCGTCAAGATAATATGCTCAACATAGCGCCGGATGGTTTCTGTTCTCCATCTCCGGTAGGCTACATTTCAACGTATACTAAGTTTTTTCCCTCGAATCACCACATCATGACTTAAAAATGACAACGTTATTATCCAGATGACCAATGTTCCAAGAAGAACTTATCAATTCTGACTGAGTCCGGTTGAAGCATGTATTAAACTCAACGCAACAGCGTAATCCCGATACAATAGGAATAAAGTCATGAATACAAGTCATCTCTTGTTTAATATGTATTTCCCAGCATACATTATACAACCAAAGTCTCTTCTATAGTCTTTGATACAATGTACATTTACGCCATAATTACGCCAGCAATAAATTAATAATAATAATAATAATGAAAAAAATTCACGTGGAGAGTCGTAATGCACAGCCAGCACCAAACGGACAGAACGGCAAAACTCAAATATAAGTGGCACAATTTCAAATTAAACAAACTATTATTTGTGATGACCCGAAGTTGATGCAAAAAAGTTAGTTTTTAATGTTTTAATGTTTGCGCTTTGTAGAATAAAGCACCGTCAGTTCAAGCATTTTCGTAGTATCTAATTAGTAAAAAAAAAAAAAAAAAGACTTTGATTCTCAAACTTATTCTTGTTAAGTACGGACGCTGTTGTCACTGGAAAAACTTTTACCCTGCAAGCGCCAATCTGGAAGCCAGAGACACGGAAGTGTGAAAAAGGCGAATTAATCGGAAGTCTTGCACACTCAAAAAAAATGGTGAACTTCTGCGTTGCAAAATAAAGTGGGATACAACTTTTGCTGTATTTTCAATCCAGAATTCATTACTTTCAAGGCAAATTTGTGTTTTCTGTGTGCTGTTTGTGCATATTAGCATTTATGTGTGTTAAAGTGCTCCTATTATGGGTTATGAAAGGTTCATATTTTGGTTTTGGGAGTCCCCAACAACAGGTTGACATGCATGCAAGGTCAAAAAACACTTTCATTGTCTTATAATATGCATTTATTTTTACCTTACTTGCTCAATGACTCCCTAACTATTCATTTTTCCAAACCCCTCCTTTGCGTGACGCTAATCTGTGGTGATTGGTCCGATTGGGCTCATTTTCATTTTCATCATACCTGTAATGCCTGATAAAGCAGCGTTTGTGAGCGCAGTGCTGCTTTGTGTACAGCCGTTACCGGGGAAACCGCTATTTTTACCGCTCCAAAAGCAGCACCTAGTGACAAAGAATGAATTTGCATTTTCATTCAGACCAACCGAAAAGACCAACAAGTGGGTGGGCAATATGCTAATGTTTCATGTTGACGTCAACATGAACGGCTTGGGATTCGTCTTAAAAACGACTAATTTCAGTGATTCAGAGTCGACTCTTTCTTTTGAGAGACAATAACTTTATACATGGTGCACTTTCAGATTTAAAACTTTGCAGGATGCTTTCATTCACTTAGAGCTGTGTTACACACTGCATGAAAGGTAAGTTTCAAAAATCCATAATAGGGACACTTTAACATGAACCGAGAAAGAAAGATTAGACTATAATACAAAACAACAGTATGTACAACTAGCCTACTTAAAAACATTCAATTAGGATACACATTCATGTTTATACAAAACAAATAATCATACGCCATTTTAAACAATACAAGTATAACAAAGTGTCTTTATATCAGTATTTAGATATACAGTTGCTCATGTCAACAACCCTTATTTAAAAATGGCTTCGGATCCCTTCAAATCTCTGTTCAATTTAAGAGTCTTTCTGTAAACACTTCAGTCAGAACATATGAACCAATTGAGCTCAATAAGAATTAAATTTCTGTCCAATTGAAAGTGTTGCAGATCGTAAAATTAGCACAATAAATTGTACACAAAACAGTCGCATGAACCTGCGCACTTGCTGCTTCATTATAATGGCTGCGGTCTGTTTTTAGTCACGGCACACACTCGCAGTGTCGATAAGCTGTCACGCCTGTCTGAATGCATTCGTCAAACACTACTGCAGGTGTGAGCGTTGACACGGTGGTCTGATTTTGAAGTCTTGTCAATTAAAACAAAAACACAATCATAGTTTAGGATTTAGATGCTTTTGAGAAAGCAACTTGCTTGTTTTCATGCATTTTTTGAGTTGTAGGCAAGTTTTCTAGTAAACATCTGTGAATATCTATCTATCTATCTATGTCGTTACAGTATCACAATGCTTCGGTTTTACATAATTAAAGCTTTGCTTGAGTTGGTTTTCATCCTGTTCTACTGCCAGATCATATTAGTTACCGCATTTGTGAATGAAATTTTACAGATGTGAGTGAAGTAATGTTTTTAGATTGCTAATTGCAAACATGTCCTGTGATTCTGGAGTATAATTTCAATAACTCAGAGCACTGCGTAGGGAAATAAAGAACAGATTTGGAGATAGAGAGGTTAAAGTGATCTCTTTCTTATACAGTCGTGCATTGAATAAAAGGGATGGATCAAATGCAATACATGCGTACTTCACATTTACACTCATACAGTTTTGGATGTTTCCCACGCAAATAGATTCAAGTACAGAAATGCAAAACACACCCAGCAATCTAGTATGATTAATTTTGGGAGGCCGTCAGTAGCTTGAGATGTCAGTATGATCATTCTTTAGAACTGTAATCATATTTTAAGTAATCTTGAACATAATATTGTTTTGTGCACGTGCACAGTAATCGAACCATTCCAGCACTGATGGGCAGCATCCCATATTACAGCTCTCATGAGTGTAAACTCTGCCAATGACTTCAGCCGCGCTCTTACCCACATACTTTTTTCCTCACGTTGACATTGTTTTTATTGTTGGAGGGCAGCAGAATTTATTATTTGCGTTATTGTTTGTAATTTCTGGCCCTACTAACTCCCCATGCGCATTAAAATCTTGGCGTCTGACATGCATAAAAAAAGTTGTTTTGTATCAAATTTGTAGCTCTCGAAATGAGCATGCTTTTCGAAAATGCCCAATAAAAATGCCTATTTAAAACAGATTGCTAATAAAATCATAACTTTATGCTTTTATGCTCTCAGAATGGGTTTGCAGTAGTTGAACCATATGCTTTCTTGTTTCTAGACGCTAGAGTCAATGGACACTGGCAAACCCTTCCTGCATGCGTTCTTTGTCGATCTGGATGGCAGCATTAAGACCCTGAGATATTACGCTGGCTGGACGGACAAGATTCATGGGAAAACCATGCCGGTCGGTGAGTATCAAAGCCAGTTGAATGGATCACTTTGTCACTTGTGTTTTCAGTCAAATCAGCTGATTCATTTAGTGCTGTGATTGAACGTGAACCAGAGCTCAGCGATTCTCAATTAAAGAATTAGCTTCTTTTCAAATAATGAGAGTGAATTTGAATTCAATTGGTGATGCACCACGGGACGTAAAATTGGAATTTTATTTTGAAAACTGGAGTAAATTGGAGCATTCTGGGAAATTAAGTGATTTTGCGCTTGCAAATGTAATTAAATATTACAGAATATGTCTAAATGAAATACAATTTTCTGGCATTTAAAAATCCAGTGTTTTTGGAAATACGAAGTTTGCATGTTTATGCATAATTAATAATGAGCTGAAGTGAATTATTTAAAAAAATAAATATTTACATGCAGGTATACACTACCGTACAAAAGTTTAAGGTCGGTGAGATTTTTCTAAAAAAAAAAGAAGTCTCTTATGCTCGCCAAGTCTGCATTTATTTGATAAAAAATACAGTAAAAAATATTGAGAAATGTTATTATAATTTAAAATACCTGCTTTCTATTGCTGCATATTGTAAAATGTAATTTATTCCTGTGATGCAAAGCTGAATTTTCAGCATCATTACTCCAGTCTTCAGTGTCACATGATCCTTCAGAAATCATTATAATATGCTGATTTGCTGCTCAAGAAATATTTATTATTATTATGATTATTATTAATGTTTTTGTGGAAACTGAGATAGATTTTAAAGGATTCTTTGATGAACAGAAAGTTCAAAAGAACAAACATTAATGTGAGCATTTACATCTTACTGACCACAAACTTTTGAATGATAGTGTATGAATTAATTTTAATTATAATTATACTTGAGGGCTGGAAAACAGTGCGTGACTGAAGCGGCTTTGAATTTCCCCATTGATAACGGCTGCCACTTAGCATACATCAACCGCCTACTGCCCAACTCAAGTGTTTATTTGGTAAAATGTGTCGTTTATGGTTCATCGCATTGGGCAGATTAACCCGGATTGTCGACGCGCCAATTATAAGACCTATCTGGCCAATTTTACATTTCCACCCGCAGCCAGAGGTGGATCGCTGCGTGGATGTTGCATTGGATCCTGACCAGATATTTCCCCCTGATTAGATTCAAATAAAGCGTTAAAAGACGAAAGCCCTGGCACACAAAGGAAAAGGAAGAGGCTCTGATCCTAATCGCTGAGGTGCGACCGCTGATGAGCCGGAGTTCAGGGAATCAGCGGCCAGATGGAATATCTCGCTCTTTTGAGGGCTGGAAAACAGTGCGTGACTGAAGCGGCTTTGAATTTCCCCATTGATAACGGCTGCCACTTAGCATACATCAACCGCCTACTGCCCAACTCAAGTGTTTATTTGGTAAAATGTGTCGTTTATGGTTCATCGCATTGGGCAGATTAACCTCGTCACGAGCCGCAGGGTTTAATTTGGATTTGTCTGTGCATGTTTTTTTTTCTCTCATAGATTTTGTTACCATTGCCATGCATTATACGATTGATAGACTGCAACGGCTGGACTTAAAAATCATCATATGCGTTCTACTGGAGAAACAAAGTCACCTACATCTTGGATGCCCTGGGGGGTAAGCAGATAAACATCAAATTTTAATTTTTGGGTGAACTATCCCTTTAAGCTTGTAAAGCCTGACATATGAAATAATGGTTAAAAAATTAAAAAATAAATTTTAATGGAAAAGTTTATTGAACAGACAAAATCCTCTCCCAAAAAAATGTTGCATTATTTATTTTTTTTTGTGGCATATCATATTGGATACATCAAGCTTTTATGGCTCATATAGTGAGAATATGGTGGTCATAATTGAGAAAAAACACTTAAACTGAGCATAAACGTAATTTGTTGTAATGTTGATATTTATATGGTCAAAAAGTAAGATGAAATTCTGATGCGTGTGATGTTAATTTAATGAGATCTTTATAACAGTATAATAAAATACTTACATAAAATGCATATAAATTTCGATATATTTCCCAATAATATGTCTTAGTAAGATGATATTTAAATGCTTAGTTTTATGATCAAAGCTCTGTA